AGGGTGGCAGTTCTACCACCCCACCTCTCGTCCTGTTCTGTCCTCCCAGGACGTCACGTTTGACGAGTCGGTCCCCTACTACCGCCTCTTCCCCTACCGCACTCCGTCCCTCCCCCCGCCACCGCTCTTCCTTGTGCCAGGTCCCCCTCCGGTAGACCCCTTCCCCCATTAGGGTACTGCCTCTTCAGGTGTGTCCCAGGTAGATGCAGTCGAGCCTGTCGAGGTTACTCGTGACTCTAGTACTGCTGGGGGTGCTGAGCCTTAGGGTGCTGGGACTTGGGGTGCTTACCTTGGGGGTGCTGAGCCTGGGGGTGCTGGGCCTGAGGGTGCTGAGCCTGGGGGTGCTGAGCCTAGAGATACTACGCTTGGGGTTGTTGAGCCTGACGGTGCTACGTCTGGAGGTGCTGAGCCTGGGGGTGCCACGTATGGAGCTGCTGAGCCTGGGGGTGCGGAGCCTGCGGCCGCTGGGCCTGCTCGTGTGGCGTCTGGCGGTGCTGGGCCTGGAGGTTCTCCGGGTGCTTCGTCTCGGCGGGAGCCACTCTCTTCACAGGAGCTGCGCGAGTGGTTTGCCCGGCGTTTGAGGCGTACTAGTGGAGCTGGAGCTTCTTCGGCTGCTAAGGGTGCTGGTGCCGCCGGTCCCGGAGGTGCTCGTTGTAGGAGTACTGGAGATGCTGGGCCTGCGGGTACGACTGGCGCTGGAGTTGCTGAGGGTGTTGGCGCTGAGGCTACTGCTGTCAGTCCTGGCGGCGGTCCTGCTGCGGGTGCTGCTAGTGCTGCTTGAGGTACTGCCACTGGAGGTGCTGTTGGCGCTGGTGCTGCCGCTGGGGGTAATGGCGCTGTCCCTGCTGTGTCTGGAGTCGCCGCGCGGCCTCGGCCGTACTTCGTTCCGCTCTTTCAGCAAGTTCTTGGTCCTCCTCCTCCCTTAGAGTGTCCACCGCCTGTCCACTCACAGTCACTGTTACCCCCGGCCTCCCCACTGCCTGCTCCTACTGGAGGTCTTGCTGAGTGTCGTGAGGCTGCGTCTCGTCCTGCATTGCCTGTTTGTGCTGCTCGCACTAGTGGTCGCGGTTCGCGTCAGCGTCCTCCTCCTGTCCCTGGCACGCACCGGATGTCTCTGCGTCCGTCCACTGCTCCTCTGCGTGTCCCTTTGCCTTCTCCTCCTGAGTCCTGTCTTCCTGCTCTTGCTGACCCGGAGTCGGACTCGCTTCGTGCTGCCAGTCCTACTGTCACGCGTCTCCATGCTACTGTTGTCACGGACCCCTCGTTTGAGTCCACTGCTGCGTCTGCCCTAGTTGCTGAGCTCGTCGACTTTGCTGCTCGCTGTCGTCTAGACTACGCTGCTAGTCTTGTTGCTGAGTCTACGTTTGTCTGTCCTCCATCTGTTGGGGGTGAGTGTGCTCTTGGCACGGACGTTCTTGAGGACAAGCAGAAGGAGTTCCAGTGTCTGGCTGCTACTTCACCCGATCTCGCGTCCGTACTGCTTACCCCTGAGGGAGACCCGGATGCACTTGACATCCCGACTCCGGGCTCTTACACGGAGACCGTAGAGGGTCCTTACTCCTCTCAGTGGCAGGCAGCTATGGACGCAGAGATGGCTTCCTGGAAGTCCACAGGCACCTACGTTGACGCGGTTCCCCCGCCTGGGGCGAACATCGTCAGTGGCATGTGGATCTTTAGGGTGAAGCGGCCGCCAGGTTCTCCAGCTGTCTTCAAGGCGCGGTACGTGGCTCGTGGCTTCAGTCAGCGGCAGGGAGTTGACTACTTTCAGACCTTCTCTCCCACCCCGAAGATGACCACTCTTCGGGTGCTGCTGCACATAGCCGCCCAGCGCGACTACGGGCTTCACTCTCTTGACTTCAGCACTGCTTTCTTGCAGGGTAGCCTGCACGAGGAGATCTGGCTGCGCCGCTCACCTATCTTCACTGGGACTTTTCCTCCTGGCACCTAGTGGAGCCTCCAGCGTGCAGTCTACGGTCTCCGCCAGGCACCGCGTGAGTGGCACGACACAGTGAGGACTACGCTTGCGGCTCTTGGGTTTGCTCCCTCTTTTGCCGACCCGTCGCTGTTTCTGCGCACCGACACTTCTTTGCCGCCGTTCTACATCCTCGTGTACGTCGACGACTTGGTCTTTGCCACAGCTGACACTGCTGGACTCGCCCACGTGAAGTCCGAGCTGCTGAAGAGACACACGTGCACAGACCTGGGTGAACTGCGGAGCTACCTTGGCTTGCAGATCACTCGAGAAAGAGCACGCCGCACCATTACCTTGACTCAGTCACACATGGTGCAGCAGGTCCTTCAGCGCTTCGGCTTCACGTACTCCTCGCCTCAGGCCACTCCTCTGCCTACTCGCCACTCACTCTCAGCTCTGCCTTTGGATGAGTCTGTAGAGTCGAGTGGCCCGTACCCAGAGCTTGTTGGCTGCCTCATGTACCTGATGACCTGCACTCGTCCTGACCTTGCATACCCTCTTAGCATTCTCACGCGCTATGTTGCTCCTGGGAGACACAGAGCGGAGCACATGGCCGCAGCAAAGAGGGTGTTGCCCTACTTGTGCAGTACGTCGCGCATGGGGCTTGTGCTTGGAGGGCAGAGTCCAGTGGTCCTCACTGGGCGTGCAGACGCTTCTGGGCTGACGACCAGGCTACGCAGCGGTCGTGACAGGGCTACACCTTCAGCCTTGGTTCCGGCTCTGTTTCTTGGCAGGGTACGCGCTCGTCTTCTGTTCTTGGCTCCAGTTGTGAGGCTGAGATCTACGCCGGGGCCATGGCTGCACAGGAGCTTCGCTGGCTCACCTACCTGCTGACTGACCTCGGAGAGCCGCCTCGTTCTCCTCTAGTGCTGTACGTAGAAAACAAGGCCATGCTGGCCTTGTGTCGAGAGCAGAGACTGGAGCACAGAACGAAGCACATTGCTCTTTGCTACTTCCTTGCTCGTGAGCTGCAGCAGCGTGGTCAGCTGCGTCTTGCGTACGTGGCCTCTGAGGCCAACTCTGCTGATATCTTCACCAAGGCACTTGCGCCTTGTGATCATCAGCGCTTCTGTACGATGTTAGGTCTTGTGTCTGTCTTGCCTCACTTGCTCACCTCTTGACCTTGCTTGTAGTGCTACATATATATATACTCCTGCTCTTGCTTGTCTAGCCTTATATATATATATATATATGTGTGTACTCCTGCATGTGAACTGGCCTTGTGGCCTTGACCTTGTGCTCGGACTGTGTGGTGACTTTGTGATCCACCCTGAGCTTGCTTTGCTTTGCTTTGCTTGACTGGTCTTGTGACCCCTTGTACTCCCCCACTTTGCCTATGGGGGTGTGTCAGATTTATATGACATAGCTATTGTAGGCTATAGTGGGGTAGCACACATGGGGTACAACTTTCTAGGGTTTGTATTTGTACCCAACTTTCACTTAGTCAATCCATTTCTCGTTCATTCTCATAGTTCATACCTGTAGCTTCATCATCGTTGGCCCACAGAGTCGTCCCGCCGATGAATTGTAAGTTACTGCATGCACCCGCATGTGCATGCACAATGAGAGAACTAGCCAATGACGATGGTCTCGCACCACACACAGGATGGATATCGTGTTGTTATAACTCCTTCACATTTGCCCACTGCACGTCAACTTGGGTTGCGCCCCCATTCGTCTCGTCAACCGCAGCATCTCGAACGATGGGCTGCATCTCTCCAGTAGTATCAGGACGCACCTCGCAATATCCCACTAGGACATCTACCGCCGCCCGTTCTCCTCCTAGCCGCCGAACTTCTCGCAACCCAGGAAACTTCCACTGGGCTTCATCAGGGGTCATGTTCACATATGCAATGGTACCCATGGCTTCACACACCGCCTTCACAAGTGATGCTTTGAGTGTCCCCTTCGCCTCTTTCTCCAATCCTTTGGTCCTCAACCACTGCCTTAAGTCTTCCAACTTAGCCAACCATAGCTCCTTGACACAGCTAGCCTTGTCCACCTCCACAGCCATCCACACGTGATCCTGAAGCTCCTTGCAGAAAAGATTGTACAACGTCCGCTTCACATGCCACCAATCCAACTGATGATCCAGCTTTCGTTTTGCCGCAGCGTCTCTAAACGTGGTCCCTTGACCCGAGATGATGCCCTTCACATCGAACCCCAACAGCTTCAATTCATCAACCCCTCTGTCGAATGCCACCCACTCCAATCGCACCAACGATTGATCATCCACCCCTTTACGTGTTGTTACACAGTACAAGGTCTTCCGCGATGGTACGTCCATGAATGACACTGTGCACCACTCACCTTCTCGGACATGTGACCATCGGCCATCCACCGCCACGTATTCGGCTGGAATGTCACGTTTTCTCATCTCCTCCCGCACCAAAGCCATCGACTTATCCGCCTCCCTAAGTATTGTTTTCCATAACCCATTATCGCCCCCAAGGTATCGATAGAACGTGCTTTTGCCAGGACATGGAATGCCAAAATTGCGGCTAAACTCCCACATCTGTTGATACCCCATCCCAGCGAGCGCGAATGCTCCCACATATTTTGAGTGTAGCATGGGCACTCGTACACCAACCCCAACTCTCTTCTTGTCAAGGGTTCAATTGGTGCACGACCAGAATTCCACTCCATGGGAACACTTATCGCATCTCCAAAACATGCCAACTGAAGCCCAAGAAAACTTCCACGACCTGATAGACTAGCACCTCCGCATGTATCTTGATGCGAGCACACTAAGCGACACCCCTTGAAGAACCCGACAACGGTACGTGGTTCGACTAGACATACCTGTTGCTCAGGGATATCATCAACAATTGGTGATGTAGGCCAATGCCTGGGGACTGTCCCGCGCGTGCTCGCACGCGGATGGCTGCAAACAGGCCTTACGAGGGGTATCGAAAAAGGACACAAATAATGAGCGTATGGTTGCCGTGAAAGTGCAAAGAGCCTAAGTGGGACCAGATGATTTCATAAGGTTGTAACATGAATTCCAAATATGTAGTAAATCAACTGCTCACCTGTCCTCTAGCATGCCATTCATCGTGCTCGGTGATGCTGTAGGCAATGACATGCTGCCGTTTGCATGATGTCCACCCCCCGCAGGTAAAGGAGGCACGGAAGGAGTAGAGGGTATGCCTTCGACATCACCACCACCCCCGATGGGCAAAGTAGGCATGGAAGAGGTAGAGTGTATGCCTTCGCCATCACCACCACCCCCAACGGGCAAAGGAGGCACGGAAGGATGAGATGAAGCCGTAGCATTCTCCACCCCACCATCATTCGTAGTGCCGCTACGAGCAGCGCGTTGTGCATTACCTGCACTTCAGCAATAGTGGTATGATAAGTGGATGTGGGCGTTGGGGCGACACGTCATCGTGAGATAGCATCACTCGTGTTCAGCTATGTAGCATGTTTGAAAGGCATGACCTCCTTGGCGTTGTAGAGCAAATGCCTTCCCGCGTCTTGCTCCTCCCCAAGACAAGCCCTCCACACGCCTTGGTCTCCCGCGATCATCTAATTGCATAAGCGGAAAGGCATATCTCACACCAAACAGCTCCCGATCCGACCGTTGTAATAAATCAGTGACCTTCCGAAGGGCACTTGAGCGTGGGCCTTGAAAATGCGATGGTACTCTTGGCGGTGCAACTCGACCGTGGCGCCCGTCTGTGAGCGTCCAGACTCAGCATCTGTGAGGGATGGGAGTTGGGGGTGAAGGTAGAGTAAGGCAGAATTTGAAAGACACGTCACTGAATTTGGGTGCGAGGAGACGGCTGATGAGGCCCTTGGGCCCCATGACCAGCGCGCTGGGGTGAATGGGGGGGGCAGGGATGAGGGATGGGGAGTGTGGTGGGGTAGGAATAAGACAAACAATGCAGGACAGACGCCGATGAATTTGGGTGCGAGGAGGCGGCTGATGAGACCCTTGAGACCCATGACCAACGCTATGGTGGGGCGCTGGGGTGAATGGGGGGGGCAGGGATGAGGGATGGGGAGTGTGGCGGGGTGGGAATAAGACAAGATCCGCAGGAATGACGTCACTGATTCTAGGTGCGAGGAGACGGCTGATGAGGCCCTTGGACCCCATGACCAGCGCTATGGTGGGGCGCTGGGGTGAACGGGGGGGGGCAGGGATGAGGGATGGGGAGTGTGGTGGGGTGTGAATAAGACTAACACCGCAGGACAGACGTCGTTGAATCTGGGTGCGAGGAGACGGCTGATGAGGCCATTGGGCCCCATGACCAGCGCTATGGTGGGGCGCTGGGGTGAATGGGGGGGGCAGGGATGAGGGATGGGGAGTGTGGCAGGGTGGGAATAAGACAAACAATGTAGGATAGACATTATTGAATTTGGGTGCGAGGAGAGCCGACAATCCACAACCGGAGTCATCACATTTGGGTGTGATGAGGCCCTTGGGTCCCATGACCAGCGCAATCGTGGGACGTTGGGGGGAAGGGGGGAAGGGGGGAGGGTAGAGGAAGGCAGATTTCAGAATACAGGTCATTGAATCTGGGTGCGAGGAGACGGCTGATGAGGCCCTTGGGTCCCATGACCAGCGCTATGGTCGGGTGGTGAGGGGAGGGAAAGTGTGAGGGGCACGGGAGTGGGGGTTGGGGAGGGGATAGAGGGAGTACGAGAGGAATTACAGGGCAGGCGTTGTTAAGAGTAAGCGCGAGGAGACGGCTGATGAGACCCTTGGGACCCATCACCAGCGCTATCGTGGGGCGCTGGGGGGAGGAGAGTGGGAAGAGAGGAGGGGGAGTGGGGCAGGCAATGCAGGTCTGGAGTCGAGTAGGCGGCTGATGAGGCCCTTGGGTCCCATCACCAGAGCTATGTTGGGTCGCTGGAGGGGGGAGGGGAGGTTGGGAGAAAGTGGGGGATGGGGATGGGGAGTGGGAGGTAAGGCAGAGAATGCAAGGCAGGCGTCAACACAGGGGCGCGCGCACACACCTGGGCGTGCGTGTGGATCAGGGCGCGCGGACCAAGGCGCGTGCGCAAAGAAAGCGGCCTCACTTTTCAAGACCCCAACTGTGCACACTTCATAAGTGGCCAACTATGCGCTAGTTCCTTGCATGCATGTGACATTCCATCAATAACCCAACTCACCAGCGGCTAGGCCAGCCCTGATGAGCCATAACGTAGCCTCATGTGCTGCCTCCGCTAAGAAATGAATCACGTCGTCGGCCGTCGCCCCCCTCTCGCCAGCAAACAAGGCGGACAACCCCACGTGTAACACGCACAGTAACGGTCGCATGTGCCGCGATATGATCACGCTTTCCATCGTTGCATATTTGCATGCTTGCGTTGCCGCATGTAACCCTGCACTTGTCGCTGGAGCCATGAGTAGCAAACTGCACCACCATGATGGGAGGCAATGTCGTTATGGGCAACAGAGGGATACAGAGCAGAAGTGAGCACATGCTGTGAGAGGCGGAGCAGTGGCCTCACACTTTGAAACGAGCATCAGAATGCTATTGCTGAGACATCAATGGCAAAGGCCACGAGCTGTGACAAAAGTAGCAATGAGCACAAGGTGACGACATGAGCAGCAGTGAGCACGTAATGTGACAAGAGCAGCAGTAGTATGATGCTGTCACATGAGCAAGAGAGAGCCCATGCTGTGACATATAGAGCAGTAATCCGATTTTATGGAATATAGTAGTAGACACATCACATGTTGTGACTTGGCAACAGTGTAGCCTCATGCTATGACCCCAGCAGAAGAACCTATATCATGTGACACCAGCAGCAGTCTCAAGCTGTGACATGAGCAGCAGCTATATGAAGCTGTGACATGAGCAGCAGCTATGCAAAGCTGTGACAGGAATGATTAGAAAGCATTGTTGAAATACTTTGACAGGAAACAACATTCACCTCATGCTTCGACATGGCAGCAGTGTCGGCTCATGTTGTGACGCCACCAATAGACCTTGCATGCTTTGACATGAGCAGTAGTTATATGATGCCATGACACGAGCAAGAATGCGCACATGCTCAAACAAAAAAATCAGCGATGAGATGGTGTGACATAAACAGCATAGACCTTATGCGTCACGTTGCAACGCCAGCAGAGACACTACATGCCTTGATACGCGCCAACGTTGATGTTGGTGCAACCCTACGGGTTTGCACTTGGCTTGTTGTACGTGTGTGTGCATGCCTGTGTGCATGGAATGGAATGAGGGCATGAAATAATTTATATTTCATGCTTATAATAGTGTGTGTATGATGAGTCATGATGTCGAGTGTGTGTGTCGAGTCAATAGCGAATTATCGCTAGTCGCGTGCCACGCGGTCATTTTGTGTGTCCCGCGCGGTTTCTAATTTGTCGTGCTCGGTTTCTATTTTGTCGCTTGTCGAACGTTCGGCGTATCGCAGGTGTGTGCAGCAGACCCATCAAGAACTCAAGGATGAGTTTGTGATGAAGAACCCGAGCCTTGGTTTCAAGCTTCAAGTGATTTTGAAGCTCGCCAAAAAAGGGTACACCTCAAGACATTGAAGATAGTTACATTACTTTGTGTAGTGTAACATTTCACTGGTGTAGGCCCTAGTGAAGGGTAGTTTCGAGACCCTTCGTGGTTGGGGACAGTGCGGCACTATTCCACATCACTGTACCTTGGCTCTTGGGGTTTGTAGGAGCTGGGAGTCATTCCCAACTCGTAACTCTTGCGAACTCTTCCTATTGTGTGTTCTAAGACTATATTTGTTATGAGTTGTAAAAGAGAGTGCGCAGGTAAACGAACAACAAAGCTGTGACTGAATCAACTGCGAATACAATGAATGCCCAGACCAATATAGAACTACTCTAGCTAGGAGAGAACCTCGGACGAGCGAGGTTGGGTGCAGGTTTGGCAATGAGAAAGCCGAAGGCGACGCGAGGAGCCTCGGCAGCGTTGAAATCGGCCGAACGTGCAAACTCCGAAAATCGGGTTGTACGCGAAGCAGTCAACCCCCATAAGGAATTCGGGAAAATTCCTTACACCACCCCCCCCCTTAAGAAAGGTAGTCAATAGCCGAAACACGCCGTCGTGCCAGATAATCACCAACAAGTGTTGAGGCGTCCAGTGAAGCGGATGGCACCCACGTGTCGTCCTCACTGGTGCGGTCGGTCCAGCGAATCAAGAAATCCACGTGGCGACCAGCGGCGTCAAGGCGGACCCTATGAGCGAGGATCTTGGAAGGGTCAAGGGTTGGCTCCGGGACGGGGCGAGCTGTCGGGACCGCTTGCTGACGTGCAATGTCGGTCGTGGCAGGCACGAACTTCCGTAGAAGGCTGACGTGGAATGCGTCATGGATATGCTAGTCGTCGGGTAGAAACAGCTTCGCGGTGACAGGTGTCACCATTTTGAGAATTTTAAACGGTCCGCAAAATCGTGGCCGAAGTTTCGCAGGGCCGGGCAAGTTCAGGTTCTTTGTGTCGAGAAGGACTAGTTGCCCAGTTGTCAAGATGACCTCCCGTCGTAGAAGGTTGGTATATTTGCGGGAAGTAATATTTGCCTTGCGAATTGCATCGGCAGCTTTTTCTTGGACTTCCTGAAGTTCCGTCACGAAAGTCTGGGAACGAGGAACCGGGTTGGTGAGTGTAGTGGTCGTTGGAACCGCCGGGTCCATCCCATAATTGAGGAAAAACGGGGAGTGATTAGTCGTGCTGGATGGTGCGTTGTTGAAAGCGAATTCCAGCATGGCAAGCGAGTCTTCCCAGCGGGCAGGGTCGGGGCAGTTTGTTCGAATTAACTGCTCCATGGCCTGGTTGGTCCGCTCGGTTTGACCGTCGGTCTGCGGGTGGTAGGCCGATGAGAACTGTAGCTTCGTGCCGTATTGTGCCCACGTTTCCTTCCAGAATTTGGACGTGAATTTGGGGTCGCGGTCGCTGATGATCGCTGAGGGGATGCCGTGCAGTCGCACGACCGTCGAGATGAATAGTCGCGCAGTTTCTTCGGCTGTGATTGTTGTTCGGCATGGTGCCAAGTGCGCCATTTTCGTGAAGCGATCGACGACGACGAGAACAGCGTTGTTGCTTGTCGGCCCAGCTGGCATCCCCGTGACAAAATCCATTGTCACTTGTTGCCACGGTCGTTCGGGTGGCTCGAGGGGTTGCAGTAGTCCAGCTGGTCGCTGACATGTCAACTTCATTGCTTGGCACACCCTGCATGAGGACACATAGCGCTGCATGTTGTTAGAGGAATCAGGCCAGTAATAGTGACGGTGCAGTATTTTCTGGGTTTTATCAACCCCGAAATGTCCGGAAAGGTTGGAATCGTGTATCTCCTGGATGAGGAGCTCACGCAAGCGGGAACCCAAATCCGGTCGGTTACGGCTTTTAGGTAATAGTCCCCTTTCTGCGTCGTAGCCTGCTGATGATTTCCCATTGTGAAGAAGGGGTCTGTCGTGTAGCCGTGGGTGAATAGTCCGGTAAGTAGCGGGTTCGAGTGGGTGATGAGTACTGCAGCGGATTGTACTGTCGGTCGGGTCAGGGCGTCGGCGATGTTATTAGCCCCTTTTTTATACGTGATGCGGTAGGTGAAATGGCTCTCCATGTAGTCGAGCCATCGAATCTGTCGTGGGTTGAGGTTGGGTTGGGCTCGCAGGTACTGTAGGGATTTGTGGTCTGTGCGAACAGTGACGTCGGCGCCCACCAGGTAGCATCGCCATAGTTTAAATGCGTGTATGATGGTGAGCATCTCCTTGTCGTGGATCGGGTAGTTGCGTTCGGCTGCCTGCAGCTTGCGTGATTCGTAGGCTATCGGCTGCGAGCCGTTCCCGAAATCTTGGAGAAGCACAGCCCCGATGGCGAAATCCGAGGCGTCGGTTACAACTTCGAACGGCTTCGATGGATCGGCGATGCGCAGCACAGGAAGGGAAACGAGAAAATGTTTGAGTTCCTGGAAAGCCGCCTCTGCGTCCTCCCCCCACACAAAATTTCTGTCCTTGTGCAGCAGGTCGGTCAGCGGGCCGGTTATCCCCGCCATATTCGGGATAAACCTCCTGACGTAATTTACGAATCCGAGGAAACTCTGGAGTTCCGTGACGTTCGTCGGGGACTTCCACTCTTGTATGGTCTTGATTTTTGCCGGGTCGATTTTAATGCCGTCGCGTGAAATGATGTGCCCCAAAAACTCCAACTCTTGCTTAAAAAACTCGCACTTAGAGCCTTTGGTAATGAGTCGGTTCTCCTGCAGCCGCTTAAACACTACGTCCAGATCACTGAGGTGCTGCTCCCGTGTTTTGCTGTAAATGAGGATATCGTCCAAGTAGACGATGACGCACCGGTCTAGAAGATCCCGAAAAACCCTGTTCATGGTCAGCCGAAAGGTCGAGGGCGCGTTCGTGAGGCCAAAAGGCATCACCGTGAATTCGTAACTCCCGTAGCGTGTGCGAAACGCAGTCTTGTAACAATCATCGGCGAAGACTCGGATTTGATGGTAACCGCCGCGCAAGTCAATCTTCGAGAAGTAGCGAGCGCCACGAAGTTGGTCGAGGAGGTCGTCGGTGCGTGGGATTGGGTAGCGAGACTTGATGGTGACCCTGTTCAGCGCACGATAGTCGATGCACATGCGAAGTCCGCCGTCTTTCTTCGGGGTGAATAGGATTGGTGCTGCGAAGGGAGAGGTGCTGGCCCGAATGAATCCTTTCTCCAACAGTGCGTCGATTTATCGGCGCAGCTCCTCGAGTTTCGGCTGGGTCAACCGCCACTGTGTTCAAACGGTTGGTTGTGCTCTAGGTTCCAGCTGGATTTTGTGGTCCTCAGGTCTCTCCGGTGGCAGTCCAAGTGGCAGGTCGTCGGGGAAGATTTCCGGGTACCTCCGAATCAGCTCCGCTAAATCCGGTGGTACAGCTGCACACAGCTTCTCGATGTCTTTTCCTTCGGTGTCGATTGCCAACTCGCGTAAACAAACGGCGAACAGCTGCGTGCCTCTGTTGAAGTGGCGGGCTATCGTGATGGCTTTGACGCACGGGGCTTGGATGTAGTCAGGTGTCCATGCAGGGAGCGTAATTAGCCCCTCGTGCTTGCTGATGCTGCATGTTCCCGTTGTCCAGTCGATGACGGGGTTGTGCCGTTGCAGCCAATCACGTCCCAGCAGTACATCGCAGCCATCCAATGTTGTCGCGAGGAACTTCATGCTGAAGCCGAAATCGTCGCCACATTCGATCCTGACCGTCTGTGTTTCTTCCGTTATTGCCAGAGGCGTCCCATCCACAAGGCGAGCGTCGATTTCGGGCAGACACCTGTCAAGTTGCAATTTGCATTTTTTT